TATCTGTGTTTTTTTTTATATTTACTATTAAATTAACAAATTGAGAAATGTATAGAACTAAAATTTGAATAATAATCTACAGTTTGATATCAAATTTATTGACATAAATTCATGAAATAGTAGTTCAATAAAATTTTGAATGTGAGTCAACAAACGAGATGACATGGCCATTCACCCATGACCCGTGTCAAAAGGGTTAATAAATTTTTATCAAAAATATATTTCAGAGTGAACCTGAAATCTCTTAATCTTGACTGAGTTTGAAGCAAAGAAAGAGACTGGACACAATTTACAACACATTTAAACAGTCTTTGTTTCAGGCAAACACAATCAATCAAAATCAAGTGTATTTTGTGGCATCTTTACTACAGATATCTCAGACAATGAGCATGTTTTACGTATCTGTGTTAAAATCTTATATCGTTCTTCATCTATATTGGACTGAGAAAATTGGCATTGTGTATGTAGAACAATAAATGATTGTCCCTCTCACTACAAAATAAGAGATGTCATATCTTTGAGGTATCACCTGACCTGCTAGCAAAAAGACCATTGACTATTTCTATACAGCATGGTCCACTTTACAGAAATCTTTCCCACAAGAAAGTGCATGAAACAGTTTAGTTGAATGACTCAGTTTGATAGGTAATTAGGTTGAAATGAACCTAGTAATTCAACTAATCTACATTCTATATTAAAACTACATACATAATATTTAAAAAGGTGGTAGGAAACGGGTAGTATGTTTACATGCCACACCTTTCTTCTCCCTTTTACCTTCATATTTACTCAAATTTAAAAATTAATTTTTGTTTTGTTTTGATCAAGAAGTCAGTGGAACTTATTCTCAACCCTACAAAACAATAAATAAATAAACCAGTAGAATGGAAAACATCACTTTACAAAACAAAATACAACTATTTGGAACAGAAAATTTTTAATTCCTTGTCCTGTTTGTTCATTCTTTAAAATTATATTTTATGGTTATTTGATTGTGTCAGTGTGTGAGAAACAATAAAATTTAATTTTTTTTATTGCAGGTGAGAAATGTGATGTTGAGTTAGAAGTGTATGTTGATAAACGAACAGCATTCAAATTGAACTCTAAGCAAGATACTCTAGATGATATCCTTGTGTTACACCTGGAAGGTGGAAAAGATCTTTTTATATCCTTTTGGTCAACTTCTTTCTTGCAACTTAAATTCATATTAGTTTATACTTTAACCTTTGGTTTGTGATCCAAATTGTCCTCATTCCATTTCAAATTAAAGAACTTTATTTCAGTTTGCAGATCTCAATAAAGTATTCTACATGACGTTGTGCCTGAGAAAGGTAAGAAAATAACTTAAAAAGCTATTATAATTAGTTATAAAGTGGCACTACCCTGTACAAAGAATATTATGCTATTTTGTATAAGTGGAAGAAGCCATTAGCCTTTGGCCACATATAATTGGACTTTTTTTAGTTTGCTTCACTGTAGAGGATTGTAAGAGAATTTTTATTGAATTTCTTTCACTGAGCATAAACTTGATAAAAGTATTATATTTTGTGTTTGTGGCTTACACACTCAGTTTTGTTATTTCTACTTTTGTCAGTTGTTCTGTGCATTCTAACTTATTAGATGTTTCTTCAAGTTTTCAATAGTGTAATCATTTACTCTATGGCCACATATAATTGGACTTTTTAGATTGCTTCAATGCAGAGGATTGTATTTTACCATTACCCATGTTCTATGCTGTTCTTTCAGTCCTTATCCATTAAAAAACGTATATTTTTATATGTTATTTACACTACTGTACCTATGTATGGGTTGGTTCGATTTGACTGACCTTGTAACCTCAATAGAAAATTAAGAAATACATTTTGCTTTTTTTTTTCATTTTAGAATGACTACAAATTATAACACGAAAACAAAAATGTGTAGTCTAAATAGCTTAAACTTCATAGCATTATACATTTATATGTATATATATATTATTTTTATTATACT